GGGATATATTGGATCTTTTTCAGACTTTTTTTTATTCAATGATTAATTTGAATTTATTATTTTGATGGTGAAGTGTTATTTTTAGCTATTTTTTTTAAAAAAAAGCATTATGAATGCATTACTTTTTAATTAAAAAATTAAAATACAATATAGTCACAAAACTTATTTTTAAATTACAATATGTCCGAAAAAACAATTATTTTTAAACTACAATATGCGCACAAAAACTTAAATTTTAATTTTCTTTTTTTCATTTACACATCTTTCTTTTAATTTCTTTAATTTTTTCACCAAATATTGAAAAAAAACAAATGAAATAAGAAAAAAAACTCCAATAACGATAATGAAAGAAGTTAAAAACAAACTCATGTCATGTAGGGGTGGGTATATATTATATTTTGTTTACTTTCTCATAATTTTTTTCTTCCTCACAAAAATATATATCCTGTATGAATCTCTTAAATATTTTAAAAATAAATTAAAAAAAGAAATAAAAAAGATTGAGGTATATATAAGCTATTTTCATAATGATAAGAATATTTATTACAAGAAGTATATGAGGAAGTATATGAGCTCTAAAAAGGACCTTTTCCCTTTTAATAAAAACAGGCTTTTCAAATCAGTACAAAATAATTTGGAATTTGAACCTTAAAAGTAAAACGATTTTTAATAAAAATTACATTATATATATTGAATTGTTTATGTGTATACTGCCAGTACGTTTTATATCTTTATAATGAAAATTCTAATTTTGTTACCATTTATTTCTACTAGTTAACAAACTCTGCTTGGATTGGGAGATTAATAAATCTTAATCTACGTCAAAGTATATGCGTGGTTGATTATGTTTCTATCTATTGCAATCAAAATTATTAAATTAGTCACTTTACTATTCATCAAATAATACGTTACGTTTAATGGAAATTACAAAAGATATTGCTGAGGCAATTTGCTACGAATTTTTTTCGACATATCAAAATAACTACGTATACATGAAAAATAAAATATTAGGGCAAAATAATAAAATTGATCAATCTATTATTAGTATTTTTTTTGTCTAATTTTATATGTCATCTCTTTTTATATTATTCGGTGATTACATGAAATATCATAAAAAAAGTATTTATCTAAAGATTGAAGGAGTATTAATTAAATCAATACCGAATGTAGATTCGAAAAAACACACGCAAAAAGAAGATCTTTCTTTATGTTGCTTGGAACCAAAGTAATCAAATGATTTTATATAGCATTTACAAAGGGAATATTGGTTGATGATCGAACATTATATTATCTAATTGACTTCTTAAGCTGTATATTAATTGTAAAATATCTTGTTAAACCCCACTTCAATGTTGACTAAGTAAAATCTTTTTTTTTTACAACCTAACTTGTTCATTAAAATTGAATTAGAGGATGATATGTAAATAAAGATGATTACAATTCAATTAATTTAAATAATCTTTATTAAATTAAATTCATTTGATAGTTTTGATCAAATGTTCGATCTATCATGAAATAAAGGGTTCAAATTTCAGTAGCGGTTTATTCTTAATATTAATTACTTATTCTTTAAATTAGTTTTCAAGACTTAATATTCCCTTTGATCCTATTTAGTTGTCAATTTTAGGAATGACACACATATTAAGATAGCAATAATTAGCATAGTGAAATTACAATTTTACCTTTATTAATTATGGTTTCAAAAAGGATGAATTAAAACTTGGAAATTTTCAAGAAGTTTAAAGAAGGTACAACAAGAAATATTTTTTTTGTGCATTCTTGATTTGTCAAAATGGACAAGTAAACATCGAGAGTTAAAAAGAGAAAATACGGACAAGTAATTAGGAACAGAGGGAGTACTTGTTAGAAAAAATAATAGGAAATAGAATTGACGAAGAAGATGACTTTGAGGCGAATAAAATCACTTTCTTTAAAGAGACATTATCCCTATATATATTGAAAAAATACAAACAAATACAATTTTTTTTATTTATATATTGTAATGATTGAGTTTTGTCGTTATAGAAATGTCGATGGGGAAAAATTGGGGCCGAAATTTTTTTTCTGCAGTATTAGGATTTTTCCAATCTTGTCCAAATTTGAAAGAATCAAGCAGTAGGGAGATCTAGTAGCAATTTGGTGGAGTAAATGTGGATTGCATTATATGAATGGATAGATAACTCCTTAAGGAATTTGCACGGCTTTACAATATCAAATTTGGATAAGTAGATCATCGGGAATTGACTTTGGCATTAAAGCAATTTCTGAGCGTAGTGGGCTAAGTATGTTGTGAAAAGAAGAAATTGAAACTTTAGTGTAAGCTCACTGCCTCGCTTCGTGCCGCTGCAACGAGATTCAGGCCGCTATAGTAATGCCGCTACAGCGGGATGGGTGCTGCTGTAGCAGGCGAGGCGGAAATGAAATTAAAGGATTTTGGAATTTTTCGAGGCAAGGCACACTGGTGCACTTTGTGCTACTGCTGAAGCAACGCCCCTATAGAGGGATGGGTGTCGCTATAGCGGGATTACAAGTTTTTAAATCATAAATAAAACTCTTATACGATCTTATTTTGTACTTTTTAACTTTTTGAGTTAAGAGACGTTCCTTGGGTTATTCCAACTCGGTTTCCACCATTCTTGAAGCTAGAGGTAAGCTTTTCACTCTCCGAATTTTTTTCGATCCGTTAAACATTTTAAAATGGGTCAATAATGATGGGGAAAAATTTCTTGAAGAATCCTATGGTGGAATTAACCCTAAATTGCCTAGTTGGGGGCATGAGTTTGAACTAGGGTTCATAGTTTGTTAGTATTTCGGGAATTTATTGTTTCCTTATTGATTCCCGTATATAAATTGTTATTTGCAGACCAAAAAAAAGAGGAGCGAATCCGCAAAGGGAAGGATCAAGTTGTCTAGAGTTTCAAGCTTGTTTCGAGGTAGGTGATGATTGTGTGATACACACTTGCTTTGCTTCGTTGTGATACTTGTATATGTATGCATGTTGCAATATTGATCATAGAGGTTTATGAGATATATGAATATTGATACCATGAAATCATGACTTGAATGTGTGATCTTGATGTGTTATTATAATATGTGATTGGACCGACTTTCACGTTTCGGTATACTAACTTGGATCGGATTGCCATGTTCCGGCATACTAATTGGGATCGTTTGCCATGTTTCAGCATACTATAATCGCCACGTTCCGGCATAAAAATGAGATCGGATTGCCACATTCCGACATGCTAACAGTTTGACTTTTTGACTTACGTGGCATCCAAATATTTTCCACGCACCTCAATTGCGTGGAGTCACGGAGTGCGCCACGTAAGACAAAAGGTGTATATAATTACAAAAGAAATAAGTTCAAGCGGGTAATATAATCTTAGTTTAGTCAAGGTGTGTGTCCGAAATTTCAGTCATAGTCTAGGGGGTACTTGTGCATTCTCCCTCTTCTTTACACTTTTTATTTTCAAAACCTCTTTTTATTTTATCTCTGCACCTTTTTTTTTACCAACGTTTTTATAGGTTTTTTATTTTTAGTCGTACGATCTCTTCGTGCAAAAAATATATTGATACCACCATTATCTTGTGCTTTTACAAATTCACTTGGTTGACTCATTTTCTAGTTACTTTTGTATCCCCAAAAAATGGAGTTATAAAAGTTTCATTTCAACACTAGATATAAAGAAAATTCAAAAAGAAAATTGAACAAGAAACACAAAATTAATATTAGCAATAATTGTTCAATGGATGTCAAGCAAGTAGAGAATTTAACGATACAAAAAAAAGAAAGATAATTGAGTGCTAAAATATATAAACGAAAACCTTAGGTTCGCCTAGGTGGTGCCATCACAAGCCAACATTTTCTTTTAATTTATTTAATTTCAAAACTAATCTTCTCCTTTCATGAAAAATTGCGACTTTAATAAGAATTGCGACTTTTATGAAAAATTATTACTTCTAAGAAAAGTTTTAACTTTTATGAAAAGTTGCGACTTTAATGAAGAACTGCGACTTTTAAGAAAAGCTATAACATTTATGAAAAGTTTCGACTTTAATGAAGAGTTGTGACTTTTAAAAAAAATTGTGACATTTATGAAAAGTTGCGACTTTTATAAAAAGTTGAAACTTTCATGAAAGGTTGTAACTTTTTCGAAAGGTTGTAACTTTTTCAAATAGTTGTAACCTTTGTGATAAGGCACAATAAATATTTGTTCACACTACCTTTTGTTGTCATAAATAGAGATATTTTCTCTCATTTTAAAACAATAAAAATTTTGAACATCTTCTTCTTCTTCACAATTAAATATTTGTGTAATTAGCTCCTCTTGAGTGGCTCACTGACAACATTGCTTATGCTACAAATTTGATATGTATTTTATACTCATTAATTTATACTTATATTATTAAGGATAAATGATAAAATGCAATAATTTTCGTTTCCTTTACATTATTAGTGTTCGTTACTATGTAATCTTGTATGTAAAATAATATACTACTTTAGTGTTGATGACAAATAGATTTTAAGTATTATTTTATAAATTCCGTGATATTAAATTTCTGTGTGTGAAGCGTGGATAGTTTTATTAGTATTATTATAAATATTAAGTATTCAGATACATTAAGTGTTTAAAAAGTAAACATAAATATATTTAACAATTAAGAATTGCGTGATTAAAAATAAAATTCCAAAAAAATAAGTTAATGACTAAAATTTAAATAGTTAAATTAAATTATGTATTTAAGTGTAATAAATAAGATCAATTAAATTTTAATAGCTCAAAATGGGTTGATTACATTAATTTTTATTTTATTGGTGAGAATTTGAGTTTTTAAATTTCACTATCTTCAATTTCTTCAAATTCATCCAAAAAATTAAATTTGAAATTTTCTTAACACATTACTTTAATTTTTCCTCAAATAGCAGCCAAAGAGACCCTCATACAAGTGACAATACTGGTACCTTTTACATAATAAAGTTTATTAGTGGACTTATCTTTAAGCCCTTTACAACTCTCAACTGGAAAAGAAAAGATTCTTATTACACCTTTAATTTTCCCTCATTCTTAGTTTGATGTAAATTGTTTCTCTTGAGGAATTGAAAGGAAGGATTTTTTTATTTTTAAAACTACTTTGGCTTGATAAGTGAGAATGGAAAGAGGAAAAGAAAATGAAGGACAAACAGAAGGGGAAGATAACAAATCATTGGTATGCTGCATATAATATTTAATTATTTTTTTCATTCACATAATTTATTGTTTAATGTAACTTAGATGGTGAATATAATCGTTGTAACTTATAACAATCGATGGTTTAATCTTTATTTATTTAAGATGAACTGATCTATACACTAAATCATTTGCTATAGTTGAATTTATTAAGTTCATTTTAGGACGCGAATTAGATTAATCTTTTAAATGAAATGACATAAATCACAAAATAGCAAGGTAAATGAATATAAGGGTGGTTGAAAACCCTAAGGTGTTAGATTCAAAACACAGTGAGACAAAAAATACTAGGTGATCCTTCCAATATGTCCTAGCCTTAGTGGCCAGAGTTTCTTGGTACCTGTTGGTTGTTACTGGTGGGAGGTGGTAAGTATTCCGTGGAATCAGTCGAGATGCGTAAAATTTGACCTGGACACCATGATCATAAAAAAAGAAGAAGATGAATATAAGGGAAAGAATATAATCAAACCTTGTATTAGATCCTGAGAATCGGGCCTTGGTGGCATAAGTAAAACATGTTCGGAACTTTTTTTTAGAGAGATAGCGCGTAAATAACGAGAGAGCTTAGTGCACCAGACTTTTAAGGATTGAGGTGTAACAGGACAAACATTTGGCTTCTCTATTAGGCTATTCTGGAGAATGTCTTCTGCACTTGTGATAGTTGCCTGTTGTAATTTAAGACTGAAAATTAGAGTTATAATCAAAACATACATAAACTATCACGTTTTCGCGAGTTTGATCACAACTCAACTATCAGTTGTTCCTTTTTTCTATTTGAACTATCACGTTTTCGTGAGTTTCACACCTCAACTGTCTGTTGTTCCCTTTTTGGATATGAACGATCATGTAACTATCAGGTGTTCCCTTTTTCTATCTGAACTATGACCATCTATGTATTAACATAATTTGAAACAACATTGGTGTTTTGGCAGGTGTCATCCGTTGTACTTCGCGAGGATATTGTCAATCTTATAGATTTCATAGAGAGGTTAAGTAATGGGTATGTTTTAACTTCGCTTGACATAGATCAAATTGAAGATTTGACATTGGAGCTGACGTTTCTGTCCGCATTTTGTCATCTTTATTACTCTTTCTTTTCGGAAGGTTGTAACGACGAAATATCTTGCATATCAAATGAGATTCATGATCTGGTTCAGTCACTTTTGCATCGACATGGAGAAGACATGGTCGTTAATATGAATTATCATGACCTCTTTGAGAATATCAAAAGTTATATTATCTATGCTGAACCAAGTCGTGTAACCACGACCGAGGATCGTTTGGTTGAACTTTTGGATGCCATCTTCATGTATCTTCAATATCTACCCAAGTTGTGTTCTGAGTTTATTTTTACATCAATGACTCAATATGAGCTTCTTCAGAATGTGTTTGGCAATTTACGAGATTTCCATAGGTTGAAAGTAAATGGTTGCGTTGAGTATGAGACAATCGAATATGTCATACCCCATCTTCAACTTATGGCTCAGAGAGTTGTAAGTTTCTGAATTACTCTTTTGTATTGTCAACTTGACGGATTAGATGAATCAGATATCTGTCGAGTTAACCCCAAGCTAGCTAATCTACTTGTGGAGGTTATTCCTGTTGAACTGGAGGTTATGCACATATGTTGTACAAATTTGAAAGGTTCAAAGTCGGAAGAAGTTGGACGTTTCATCAATCAGCTCGTAGAAGCCTCTCCGGACATTCTTAGAGAATCTCTGATTCATCTACAAGAGCACATGGTTAGTTCTGTTACTCCTAGTGCTTCTACGTGTAACATTCATGTCATGATAGAGTTCCTATTGATTATTGTTACTGATATGCCAACAGACGTTATTTGTCATGACAAATTGTCTGTTCTCTTAGTACGTGTTAGAGAACTTACCAAGGAGGTATTCATTCTTGTTCGCAACTTAGAAGAGAATATGAATGCAACAAGCGGTACAGGTCTAAACTTGCTGGAAAATATTGAACTCCTTAAGGAAGATCTCAAGAATGTTTTCTTGAAAGCCTGTGCAGACTCATCTCAGCTCCGGTTCCCCATGAGTGATGGACCGCTCTTCATGACTCTTCTACTCACAAACTTAAATGACTTGGTCAATTCAAATGCTTGTTCAGTTGCTTTGATAAAAGAAGAAATTAAGCAGGTGAAAGAAGACCTGGAAACTATAAGATCGTTCTTCGGGTATGCTGAGCAAGAGTTGCATAGAGATCTTTGGACTCGTGTTCTAGATGTGGCATATGAGGCGGAACATGTCATTAACTCAATTCTTGCCCGATATCATGGTCTATTGCAGCTTATCTTCATACTTCCTGATACCGTAGAAAAGATCAAGCTTGTCAAAAAAGAGGTACAAGAGAAGATTCCCAAGAGAAGCAGTATTATTACTGCAAACACTCCCAACAAGCCGGTTGAAAGAAACTCATTGAGTACAGTTGGTAAAATAATTGTAGGTTTTGAGGAGGAGACAGAGTGGATAATTAGGAAGCTCACCAGCGGACCAGCTGAGATAGATGTCATTTCCATAGTCGGCATGCCAGGGCTTGGAAAAACTACTTTGGCATACAGAGTGTATAATGATAAGTCCATTGTTGATCATTTCGATGTTTGTGCTTGGTGCACAGTCGACCAGGAACATAATGAGAAAAAGTTGTTGCAGAAAATTTTCAATCAAGTTATTGGTTTGAAAGAAAGATTCAATGAGAAGGACATAGATGATGAAGTTGCTGATAAGCTGCGGAAACAACTATTTGGAAAACGGTACCTTATTGTCTTGGATGACATATGGGATACTGCAATATTCGATGAGCTAACCAGACCTTTTCCTGAATTACAGAAAGGAAGCAGAGTTATTTTAACAAGTCGGAAAAAGGAAGTTGCTTTGCATGGAAAATGTCACAGTAATCCTCTTTATCTTCGATTGCTAAGATCAGATGAAAGTTGGGAGTTATTAGAGAAAAGTGTATTCGGAGAAGAACGTTGCCCTGATGAACTAAAGTATGTCGGAGAAAAGATAGCTCAAAAGTGTGATGGGCTTCCTTTAGTACTTGATCTAATTGGTGGAGTCATTTCAAGGAAGGAAAAGAAAGAGACTTTGTGGCTTGAAGTTCTCAATAATCTGAGTTCCTTTATTTTTAAGGATGAAGAGGAGGTTGTGAAGATTATACAATTAAGTTATGACCATTTGTCAGATCACGTAAAGCCGTGTTTGGTTTACCTTGCAAGTTATCCAAAGGATGAAGATATAAGGATCTCTGAGTTGAAAGATCTGTGGATTTTTCAAGGACTCGTGCAGCAGATTGTGATGAAAAGTGCAGAAGAAGTAGTGGATGTGTTAATTTCCAGTAGCTTGGTAATACCTTTCGATAATTCTATTTGCAAAATTCATGATCTTGTGCATGACTTTTGTTATATAAAATCTAGAAAGGAAAAGTTGCTTCACTTCATAGGAGGTTCAAAAGCTCCGTCTTCCTCTTCTTCGGATCTTATGCCACGTGGAATGATCATTCGTTTTGATAAATATCTATTTCAATTCAATGAAATTTTTGTCGTGTTTGATCCAGAAATGAAGAATCCTTATGTTAAACACCTCCTCTCTCTGAAGGTTGATGAGCATTGTCTTCCCTACAACAGTCACCTAAAACACTTGAGGCTTCTTCAAAGTTTGGATTTACACGACATAACATTGACTGATTCTTTGCTGAATGAAATTGGTATGCTCGTTCATTTGAAGTACTTATTCATTCAGACGAAGTCAAAAGCTCTCCCTCCGTCATTTTCAAACCTCTGCAATCTAGAAACTCTGTTGGTGGATAACTCAGAGGGATCATACATCCTATCGCCTTGTTTTTGGAGTCTTGCAAAGCTACGAGATGTGCGCATTAACGTTTGTTCTTTCTATGACCCGTACATCAACGAACCAACTGTGTTAGCCAAGGACTCAAGGTTAGAAAATTTGAGAACATTACATGAGCTCTACCTTCACGGTTCAGAAGACACGGAGAATATTTTCAAAAGGTTTCCTAATCTCAAAAACCTTAGAGTCTGTATAGAACAACTATCAGATTGTTCAGCAGAGAAGATTTGTTTTCCAAGATTGGATGTCCTAAACGAACTTGAAGAACTCCGTTTATCTTCTTCTTGGGACACATTCAATGAATATACACAAGGCTTCCCTTCGAGCTTGAAGAAAATGAGGTTGCAAGGGCTCGCTCTGACATTCGATTCAATGTCAAGAATCGCTAGACTACCCAACCTTCAAAAACTAAGTCTAGAAGACGCAATCATCGAGGAGGGGAAAGAATGGAACATGGAAGATATCACCTTCCAAAATCTCAAATTTCTAAAATTGGGTAGGGTGGAATTTTCTGAATGGCAGGTTGATGCAGAGAAATCCTTCCCCGTGCTCGAGAAACCTGATATAAATAGCTGTGATAAGCTTATGGAGATCCCAGACAGTTTTGGAGATATTGCGTCATTAAAGTTGATCAATGTATGGTACAGCCCTCAGCTTAAAGAGTCGATCTTCAATATTAAGGAATATGTTGAAGAAATGACCGGAGAAGAGGTACATTTCCATGGTAGTTGATCTAAAGAATGCGAGTATAAATATGAATTCACTAACTTTCATCTTTTTTACACTAAATTTCCTTTCAGAAATGTTATGTTTTTTCCAATATTGCTTATAACTTATGTTTTATTTAAAAATTACTATTAACTATTTTTTGGTTTTAAAAATGAAAAATATTGACTAGGTTTCGAAAAATCAATTAATCTTATTATTTAAGAAAAATCGACTTTTCAAATTACGGAGTCGCCACTTGATTTTGATAAAATCAAGAAAAATTTCAAAAGATTTAAAACAGATTAAAATCAATTGAAAAACAAAGGTTCGAAGTTCAATGTACATCCCGAGAAGGTATTAGGCCCTCGGGATGTCCGCTAACTTGCGGTTGACCGGCGATTTGACTAAATG